GCCGCAAACGCCGCACTTCTAAAATAAAGTCGCTAGAAACAGCGGAGATCCCAAAAAAGTAAGCAAAAGGAAAAGTCTAATATCTTGAAAACCGGTGAATATTTTTCGGTGAAATTTGGTAGATATTCGTTTTCGCTCTTTCTGAACCTAGCGACATCACTTTCATGCCAATTCATAAACTTTTTTGAAGGTGGGAGGGTACCTTTAATTGAGCTTTGTGCTCTCGGTTACCAGTAGTTCCAAGAGAAGAATATAGATCAGGCTGAAGGTAATCGAGTGTACTGAGTCATCAGTCAGCAGCAGCAGATAACACCAGTCCCCCCCCCCCCCCCCCCGCCATCCGTTGCAGTGGCCGGCAGCAGCAGCAGCTCGGCCGCCGACTCGTCCCTCTCGGACCAGCGTCTGTGGCCGCCGGCCGAGTGTGCTGCCGTCCTGGAGCGCGCCGTCGGCCGGCTCAAGGAGCAGCTGGCCGCGCGGCCCGACGGCGACCATCTGGTCTGGGATAAGGACGACGAGAACGGCATGGACTTTGTGGCGGCCTGCGCCAACCTGCGCGCACACTGCTTCGGCATCCGGCTCAACACGCGCTTCACCATCAAATGTGAGTGGGGGTGGAACGGCAGTTAGGAGGGACTGCAGCAGAGCTGGGCATTGCGCAACTTAAGTCCGCAACTCCGCAACTCCGCAACTTGCGGACTACCCTCTTGGTAGCGGAGTTACGGATCGGCTACCGAGCCCAAAAAAGTTGCGAAGTTGCGAGTTGCGGAAGCGAAAAATTCTAAAGCGCAACCGCTACCGGGGCCGCCACCGCTGGTGGGGGCGCCACTGTACTCTTTGCACTCCACTGCACACTGCACGTGTTTCCAGGCTAGTTTTTGAAGCTGATTTCGAATTTAATGACCGTTTGAACATTTACGAAGTAGTTTTAGTGCCTTAGTAACATGTTACGAGGCTTTCAGTGGTGGTTGACACTGGATAGGCGGTAGGACGCCTACTGGTTGACCTGACCTGACCTGACCCGACCAGGCCCAAATGCATGAAGACGTCCTCTTTGATCAAAACCAACATGAAATTTGTTATCAGCGCCCCCCCCCCAAAAAAAAGCATAAAAGCTTCACTTTACGAAGTTCTAGCAGGTCCGATTTTCCCGACTTTTGGGTCATTGACCTGACCTGGAAGGTCAACCAATGACCTATGACCTTAAAATTGGGTATCATCGGCTTCCTCTCGTCACGGGCAACACGCTCGTTTTTTCCCCGCGAAGCTCTAGCTCGATCAGGGGCCGAACGGCAGGGGGGGGAGGGGGTCCAACCGACGTACACGTTAGACGCTGTAAAACACCGCACACAGCGAGGGTTAAGTCAAATTTTATGGTCGCCAGCACGGGGCCGGGGGCGGGGGGGGGGGTGTTTGGACACCCCTCCGTAAGGTTTTCCGCAAATATATAAAAAAGGCGGCGGCAACGCGGCTGTTTTCGACACTGCTATTAACACATCCTTTCTACACATTGTATCAACATGTCAGACCCAGGTCACCTCAGGTCAGGTCACCAGGTCAAGTCAAGGGACCCAATCTCCGAAAAAATTAAACACCCGCCCTAGCAATACAGGGCAATATAGCAATATAGATACACCTATTGACCGATCACTTTGAAACTGTCTGCATATGACAAGGGTAACAAGATATAGGTACAAAGTGTATTGTCTCATATTTTTTTATATTTGTGACTTAAGGTAAGGTCAACTGTGTGACCTCTCCATTATAAGTCAATGGGAGAAAATACGACTCGTCCGGATTTGCGGCAAAATGATCCCAAACAATTAAAACATGCAAAGAGTAGCACTGGCATGTCATTTACGTCGACTGGTGTCGCAATGACTTGCGCATTGAGCATTATAGGTCACGTGACGTCATCAAAGGTCACCAACAGTCAGGTCACCAACAGAGGTCAACCAAAGGTACTACCTGTCAGACATAACACTGCACTTCAGGACTAAAACTGATAAAACATAGGAACCTAATAGAGGTTGGTAGCGGAGTTGCGGAGTTGCGGAGTTGCGAGTTGCGGTTTTACGATCTGCAAAATAGTTTCGGAGTTGCGATTGCGCTTTGGGTACCTTAGGTTGCGGAAGGTAGCGGTAGCGGTTTCCAAATTTCGGTAGCGATGCCCACCTCTGGACTGCAGTGTAGCGAATGAAAAGGAGAGGGAGGAAGGGGTACAGCCTTGTGACGTAAGGAAGAGGTGTGTTTGATGAAAGGTGTCAGAGGAAAGTTTTCTGAGCCCGAAACGTTGGTGGTATCTGTAATGAAGGAAGTGGTTAAAGGGGATTGACAGCAACCCAAGCGGCCCAAACCCTGAATGCTCAAGTCGCCACCGCCTAGAAGGCGGAAATAGTGACCTCAGTGTAATCCCTTGACCCCTAAACTAACTTTTCCCACGGCTGCCGTCAGCGATGGCCGGCAACATCATCCCTGCGATCGCCACCACCAACGCCATCATCGCTGCCATGGTGGTGTTCGAGGCCTTCAAACTGCTCGAGGGACGGCTGGACGACTGCAAAACGGTACCTACCGGTGGGGGATGGACGCGGACGGGGGAGACAGGGCGGCTAGGAGGGGCATTATTTTTTTAATGGAGAGGAAGGAGGGAGGTTGGATAGGGTGTAAATCGTCCCGTGTTATTCGAGCTGGGGGCTGGGGCACGCTTGTACGCTTTGGTAATTGACGATTCACAAGAGATGAATCTTATTTTTACGTTTCTTTGTTCAGAATCAGCCACAGACACAGATAATCAGCCTTTAATGGCCCCTGAGCTGGCTCTGACTACATAAATACAGCCTACTCTGACTGCTGACCGCATTCACAGTTGACCCGCCATGACTTTCCGGTTGACCCACGTCTGACCTGGGCCTGCCATCCACGCCGCCAGGTGTACCTGAACCGGCAACCCAACGCCAGGAAACGGCTGCTCGTACCCTGTGTGCTGGAGAAGCCCAACCCCAAGTGCTACGTCTGCGCTGAGAAACCGGAGGTAGGACTATTCGGAAAAGCCCGAATGAAGCTGTCTAGACCGATGTAGCGTTGAGTCTGACGTGTCTTGTGTATTTTTTTGCTAGAATTTTATCGCTAGAATCGATGGCATGTTGACGTACAGAGTTAAAGAGACGGAGAGGAAACACCCACCATTGCTCAATAGGGAGTCTAGCTGAATGTAATCGATAGAAACAGAACAGATGCCACGTACACAGCTCAACTACCAGCAGCTACTACCTAGATCTATGTAGACCGTAATTATTCTGCATTGTCTGACACCCCCCCCCCCATCTGCAGGTAACCGTGCGTCTGGACGTGAGTCAGATGAAGCTACAGGCGGTGGAGGAGCGGGTGCTGAAGGCGGCGCTGAACATGGTGGCTCCCGACGCGGAGCTGCTGGACGGCCGGGGCACCATCCTCATCTCGTCAGAGGAGGGAGAGACGGCCGCCAACGCGCCGCGCACTCTGGCCGAGCTCGGCGTCAGGGACGGCGCCCGCCTGCGCTGTGACGACTTCCTGCAAAACTACGAGCTCATTGTCAATATCGTCAACAGGTGAGTGGGTTAAGAGAAGGGAGGGTGTTATGTATCTAGCAAGACTTAGGCTTTATGACTGATCAGTTGGCCCTGAAAGTTCTCGCTCATGGATGAAACAAAATGTCACGAAGGCCTCCTATATGCATTTGTATTTTGCAGGCTTAATTATAAGTGCAATATTAGCCGCGTAATGATTGTCATTTTTTCCTCGTGGAGTTAATATGTGTATAATATCGCTTAGCATCACAGCCTACATTCACGGCATACTATATATTTAACTTTGTACTGTCTAGACTTGTCCGGCGTGTTTTCTACCCTCATTATGCACCAAACAGTGTGCTTCAGCCGTCTAACACCTCCCTCTTCCCACTCCACGCAGCACGGATCTGCCGGACGGCCAGGAGTTTGAGGTGGTGGGCGACGCCAGCCAGCTGCAGCCCGCCGCCCCCGCCCCCGCCGACGGCGAGGCGGGTCCTTCGTCGGCGGACGCCGGCGGCTCGGCGGCAGCCAACGGTAGCGGCAACGGCGCCGGTGAGTCTTGGGATAGGACGTGACAGGGGTGGGTACGTCGTTCATTGTATTCTGAATTGCTCACATGTTTCATAATCCATTACAAATCGCCTTTCCGCTCTTTGGTCGTCATTATTGCCGTAATTACTGAACTATCTCACGTATGTCATCTGACCTCCTCTTTCTCCATTGCAGGGAAAGCAACAACCACGGTGGACGATGACGACGACCTGGTGTGTCTATCCGAGGGCGAGGACGGGACCGGTACGGACGGGGAGGTCCCCACCGCCACCACTACCACCGTGGGAACGCCCGCCTCCAAACGACCGGCTCAGTCCGACCAGGGCACTCCGCCGGCCAAGAAACGCCGCGCCCTCAGCGGGTCAGAGTCGCCGGAGGTGATCGAACTTTAGTGAGAATTCTTGACGCTGACCGGGCGTGTGAGGCGGAGCGGTACATGTGTCTGTGTCGAGAGAGGTGGTGACCGTACAAGGGAGAGAGAAGAAGGAGGCATTGAGAAGGTTCATTAGAAGAGAGGATGTTCATGAAGCTCACACGGGATGAAAGTACGTCCACCCGGCTCTGTCATCGTAAGATTGGGACATGTTACATCGTTTCTGCATAGTAATGTGACTACGTTACAAAACCAGAACTGGTTGCCTCCTAGACCTCTGTATGTTACCAGCAGCTGACGATTCGATACTTTCCATCTTCAGTGGAAGATAGTCCATCGGTGAGTCCAAGCCGTTTCGACACTGAGAACAAAGTCTGCTGGTACCGCCCTGGATGGACCAAACGCCGTCCCTGCGGCGGCTCCCTGTTCTGTGTGTAGCGAGGCGTTGTGTTCCTCTCGCTCGTTTACCTCGAGCCCATTTCTGTGCCGTCTTACCACACTTCCCACAGACGCCAAACAGAATACACTTTTGTATATAAGTGGTTGTATTGTCCAGTATGTACAGACAATGCCTGCGAGATTCTGTCGCGCCGCGTCCAATGGATATACCCGGCTTCAGTTACATAGTCTCCGCGCGTCCGGAGCCCGGCGGCGCGCCACCCGCCGTTGGCGCCGAATCTCCACGGAGTCCGCTCGGTTACACGGTTCGAGCGCCACGTCTCCCACACAGCTCACTCGCTCAACCGGCGCGCGCAAAACACAGACACAGTAAGCGCGCCACTGAAGCCTCCAGAGATTAATTATATAACAGAACCTTTATACAGGCAGCACTGCGCGAGCCACAATACAACAAAACCAACGAGGAGAAATAGACAATAAACGATTTATCCGACCGACTAGAACCCAGTTAACGACTCAACAACGAGCGGCATCAGTCACACGTGGCACGTTCCGTCCGATACAATGTCTTGGAGCTGGGTGAGCCGTGTTAGTACATGCACTCAGTCCTGTTCCCGCTCGATAAATACAGCAGAGCACATTTGGTCAGCTCCAGGCGTGGCCACTGGTGTTGTAGGGACTTTACTCCGTGGCTGTGACCAGCTGTCATTAATATTCCCTACCGTTTAGATCTCAGCCTGTCGGTACAGCTCTCACACGAGCGGCCTAGATTGTGGCGGAGTTGGTTACATTTTACCCCATATCCAGCACATTTCCGAGTCGCGGTGCCTAGCCCTTTTCGATCATCACCCGAACAATAACACGCTCCGCACCAATTCCGCAGCCGCCGCGGAACATCAGCGAACGTCACAATAACATCAGACACATCACATCACGACGTCGGCGCCGGCGGCAGTCTCTCGCTCTCTTACGCACACCACGCATTCCCCGTACAAAACGCGCGACAACACAGTACAGACGGCCGGTCAGCGTTCCTGAGTCGGTTGTTGGCCCTCCGAGGTCCGCACAGGGGCCCTCGGGGGCCGGCCAGGGTCTATGGACACCCCGGGGCCCTCGGGTGCCGGCCAGGGGTCTATCGGACACCCTTGGGATCTTGGGGGCATCCAAGGGCCTATTGATCATTCCGGGGCCTCACAGGACCCATGGCGCCTATCCAGCGCACGGAGAGCTCGCAGTATCCACATGGCCAGACGGGGCCATCGAGGGGTCTATCTAAACACCAAGGTGCTGCACAAGGTCCCCTCAAGCTCCCAGGGGCCCTCTGGCCATCCAGGGTCTGTAAAGGGGCTCGCGGGCGAGCCAGGGGCCTATCAGACACCCGGGGGCCCCACTGGACCCCAGGGCCCGCGGCGGTGGCTGTGCCGGGCGCGGTGATATTCGAACCCCGTACCCTGACCGCTCAGGAGCGGAACACGGGCACCTGGCGGTCCGCCGCCGCCGCCGCCGCCGCGGTCTGTCGGAGCTCCCCTCCGCGCCGGATCTGGTCCATCATAGAGTGTCTCTGCCTCTGCTGACCATCCCCGGCCGAGAACGAACCCAGACGCAGCAGCGGCGACGCGCCCACCCCGCCGTCCGCGAACCCGCCGGGGACCGGCACCCCGCCCAGGGCGACCCCGACCCCGCCGGCGGCGTTATACTGCGGCGGGGCGCTCCCTGCCGCGGGGGAGGCCGCCGCGGCGCCGCTGAACCCGGTCGGACAGGCCGGCCGGTGCTGCACGGCGTTCAGGGAGCGCACTGTCTCAGAGACGCTGCGCTGGGGCCGCCAGTTGGCAGAGTGGCGGCGGACGGGTGGCGGCGGCCGCTGCGTCTGAGAGTGACACCGACGCAGGCCCGGCGGGGGCAACGAGTCCGGGTCTGGAACAGCGGCACGGGGAGTCAATGCTACGGCGCGGAGGGAGGGGAGAGGTAGGTACGATTGAGAGAGGAGGTAGGACGGTAGTGATGGCGCGACGGGCACGTCAGCGTCCGGACGGCTGAGGGGAGGCCGGTGTGTCAGTGTCAAAGGAAGGAGGGAACCCAGCCCAGCTTCAAAAGAAGAGGCCGAGAGGGAAATTCAGGTAGGAGTAGGACGGCAACTCAGAAGTCGGGCGCCTTCCGATTCAGAGAGAGGGGTGACAGGGAAGCGCAGGGACGGTTGCGGACCGACGGTATTACAGTTGAGGTGATCCGTGGCTGGACGGCTCTATAAAGTTCGCCTGTCGAGACCAGATGCTTAATGTTAGAGATTAAGACACATTACTGTAAATTCGTTCAATTAAATAGTGGCGCGATGAAAGCACAGCAAATCGATTAAAATGAGCATGAATAGCACATCAATTAAAAACACAAATTGATTCGACCTTGGATTGATTTAGCATGCATGCATACACATTACTACAAATAGGAAACGCGTGTCGCACATGCTGATCGCCCTGCCGTCTTACATCTGCAGCACGCAGAACTAATGTTTCTATCTCTCACCTGCCGGCGCCGCCACCGAGACGGGTCGCCCCCTCTGCTCCTCCGAGACGTCGCAAAAGTTGTTTAGCACAAAATCAGGCGGCGGCGGAAAGGCTGGACCAAAAGAAGCGGACCGATCAGGGCTCAGACGGGCAGACTAGGCCGGCGGGGGTGGCGACTAAGGGGGCGAGTGCCCCCGCTAGGCGGGCCGGACATATAACACGGAGCACCACTGACGGCGACACGGGGAGAGCGGCATGCACAACTGAGGAGTTCGGACACACTGCCGATCGCACCCGCTCACTCTATCAGACACCCGCACACGAATATGTCTCCCTAGTGGGCTAAATAACGGCAAACAATGTGCTACCCATCCATATCAACCGCGGGGCTATATTCTGGACTATTCTACATATATGCAGATTCGTAAAATGTTCTGTGCATGTAAAAGATCAGCAAAGCATACAATAATTAAAATCTGAGCCTACAGCACCAGCCACACCACTCTTTCAAACACTCCCAACCTTCTCACACACAGTACCAAACAACATCTAACATCAAAACACAAAACAAAGCCCGACTACACCAATGTAGCCAGCCTCTGAAAGCCAGTCAGACTGTGCTTTAGCTGTACAGGCGTTAACCCTCGGCCACCGTCCGGGGTACATGTGTCTCTATGTGCCATCTCATGCTTCTGACAGCGGTGGGCGGGTGGGGGCAGACGTACCGTCAGTGTGCGCAGCCGCCGGAGCCGTGTGGACGCTGCCGTATCCGCTGGAAGCCGAACCGTCACTCTCACATCGCTCAAACTGAGGAGAGAGAGAACGAAATAAGGGGGGGGTTAGAGGGGTCACGGTGAGGTTAGAGGCGGAGCAAGGAGGAAACTGGGGCTGCGCGCTCAATCAACGCATGGGAAAGTCATTTCGGTACTAGGGTACTAGAGCATAGGGTTAGGCCGAATACGAATTTTATGAACACTAGCATGCCCCTGCAAATCATTTTACGAGGGCCTTAAACAGCACTTCAGATAAAAAGACACTGTTGTTGGGGACTGTTGTCCTACCTCAGGCGGGCTGTAGCTGGTGGGTCTGGTGGGCTAATGTGCAGCCACGTGGGACAACATCCTACCTTAGGCGGGCTTTAGTTAGTGGGACAACATCCTACCTTAGGCGGGCTGTAGTTGGTGGGTGTGTTGGGATAATGTCCTACCTTTGGCGGACTGTAGTTCGTGGGATAATGTCCTACCTTTGGAGTTTGGGGGGCTGTAGTTAGTTGGTGGGCGTGGTTAGGGGCTGTTGCTGGGGCAATATCCTACCTTTGGCGGACTGTAGTTGGTAAGATAATGTCCTACCTTTGGCGGGCTGCAGCCAGGTGGGACAACATCCTAACCTTTGGCGGACTGTAGTTGGGACGATATCCTACCTTTGGCGGGCTGTAGTTGGTGGGTGTGGTGGGCGTCTCCGGCTCCGGCTCCGGGGTTGGGGTGGTGCAGTCCTCCTTCGGAGCCGTCACCAGCTCCGCCGTGTTGGCGTACACCGGCTGAGGCACCACTGTGGGCACCAACGACACCAGAGCGGTCAGCATATTGGTTAACGCACACACTAGCTGACAGCGTACACGCATAATACAAGGTTACATTGCAAGGTTGTATCAGGGTTGCCACTCATGTCATCGCGTCATGGAGAGGCAATGGAGATTGGTGGACTGATGACGGCTATTACAGACGATCTGAGAAACGGAGACCACATCACGCACTCACCCCTCCTCTCCCTCTATTTCAGTTAGCACTCACAACTCGTTTCGCATCTATCATCAAATCAACCAGACTCCCAACGACCCGTCGCCCCTTCCATCCCGCTCCCCACTCACACATATGCGGTACCGCCTGGTTAAAGTCGGGCAGCTGTACGGCGGCAGGACACGCGTAGTGGCTGTACACCTTCGCCTTGGGTTTGCCGCGGCTGCGCTCTGACTTCTGCGGCACGGGCGGCCGGCCGGGCGGCGGTGGACGCTCGGCGGCGCGGGCGGGGGCGGGGGCGGCGGCGGCGGCCGGCCGCGGAGGCAGGAAAGTCAGCGCGCCCAGAGGCGGGCGGTGGTGTACTCCGCCCCGCTCGTAGGCTGCGAACACAGAGAGGAGAGATTAGTGGAGTGTGGGGGCGGCTCGACATGCGGGGCAATAAGAAAACATACTGAGACTGAGAGGGCAGACCATCTGCGGCCTGCGAAACCACATACAGCCGTTGATGGGAACCATGTGTCGGATTTTTACATGAATGGGCAATGTCTGCGAGATGAACCGCCAGGCCAAGGCTACGCTGATGAGAATCATACCACTATTAAGACGTGAGATGGGGAACACAGCTCAGAGGCTGTAACGTTATGTAACCATAACAGCAGCCGTACCGGGCATAATTGGTCCGTCCATCACACAGGGCGCCTCGAAGGGTAACCGGGTTCTACAAGGTCACCGCCAGACATCACATTTCGTACTGCTGCACCCAGTTTACACCTACACGCCTGGGGCTGAACGAAGGCACATGACTACCAGCGCACACACAGACATACACCCACCTGTCGAGATGGTGTGCGGCCTCTCTGCCGGTGCCGCCGCCGGGGCCGGGGCGGGGGCGGGCGTGTCCTCCTCCTCCGGTGTCTCGGGCGCTGACGGCGGTGTGACTGGCCTCACAAACAGCGTGTCCTGGGAGGTGAACCCCGAGTCTCTGGACACGACGCTGGCCAGGCGCGGCGGCTGCACACCGGCCGCCGGAGGCGCCGCCTGGCTAAAGGAGCGGGGTCGGGACACCACCTGGCTGCCGGCGGAGGTGGCGGAGGCGGCCGCGGAGGCTCCGGAGGCCGCCGAGGCGCCGCCTGCCGAGCCACAGGAGTTGAGGCTGGCCACTGAGCAGACGGAGGACTTGCGGGAGCCCAGGGAGGAGCTGTGACAGGGCGAGCTCGGCGTGGAGTCGAGACGCCACGGCTCGCCGCCGCCCTTCAGGTCACAGATCACCTGCCGGGGGGAGCGGTAGGTCAGGTCAGGTCACAGATCACCTGCCGGGGAGAGGGGTAGGTCAGGTCAAGTCAGGTCACAAATTACCTGCTGGGGATGGGCGGGTAAGGTAAACATAGACGGGCAGCTCACGGTCCACAGAATATCCTGAATCCCCAGAAGAAGTCAAGCCATAAGTTATACTGTACAGGGTAGATGATGGATCGTCGGCCAAGGTACGCACTGAACATGATTTACATACCTATCAGATGCAAACCATGGTCTGACTTACGCAAACTTTGAAATTAAAACATCATCAATACTGCTCGATCTCCATAGCATACAGATGCGATCACATGATTGTACGTTGCATTACATAGTTATTATGCTCAGTGCTCGCATTACATTACGTTCTACAGCGTCAATAAGCCAGTGAGAACACCTCGCGTTGAGCGCATTATGAACATTCCATCCAATGCACCAAGCATGGCCTGGTAAATGCTGCCATACACCGACACCGTGCTACGTTCAATCATTCACAGCCCCGGGGACCTCCCATGGGAATCCCGGAAGCTTTACGGTGAAAATCGTGTAAATATCCCAGGCGACGCAGCAGCAAATGGGCCTTTTATGAAGCCACGATGGAAAGCTGCACATTTTAAGTGCCGTGCATTACGGGCCTATTATTTCACGTCGGGAGCGGGGCGCGTGGCGGGCGGACGGGAGGGAGGTGGTGGTCACTGGTAGGTACAGTTTTGAGTGCCTGTTTTACTGGGGATGGCACTGGTTACCTGTTGGCAGAGCGGGCGGACGGGAGGTGGTGGTAGGTACCGATTTTACATCTGAGTAAGTGGTATCGGTAGTTACCTGTTCTGACGCGGCCGGCAGTGAGAACGGGTCGGCAGTGTTCTGCTCCAGCTGACTGAGCACCTCCGACAGGTGAACCATCTCGCCCATCACGGCCACCTCGCCTTGCTGGGGGTAAAGAGGTCACAGTGAGGTCAGATAGAGGTCATATAGGGGTCATATAGGGTCATATAGGAGTCATATTAAACCATCTCGCCCATCACGGCCACCTCGCCTTGCTGGGGGTAAAGAGGTCACAGTGAGGTCAGATAGAGGTCACGGTGAGGTCAGACAGAGGTCATTCAGGGGTCTTATAGGGGTCATACAGAGTTCACAGAAATGGAACAAGCGGACTATACGATACAACACGGCCAAACACCTTGATGCAGGTTACGTAGAACGTAAGATGTGAAATGGATCTGCAGAGGACCGCACAGGTCTTAGGCAGCAAAGCTCGCCAATCAATTTACCAATGCTAAGAGCTGCAAGTTGTCTTCTTTGCATCATCTCATCTCCTTCGAAAAAGAGCTTCGTGTTAGAACTACCCGAACTTCATACCCTCAACTTCCCGGCGGCAGCTCACAAGAGTTCGAGGCGTGTGCTCTGACAACTTTTCCAATCGTCTCCGCTGTTGACGGCACATTTCGTCCCTGTGCTGAACAGGGTAACGGTCGGTGATGGGGTCTGTTCCTCAGACTTCGGGGCCGAATCAGTCCCGCTGGGATGAGATGATTGGTGATTGGTGTCGGGTGTCAAACTCGACAAATCTCGCAGGCAGGTGAGCTAAAGTTGAACGATTCCAAGGTGAGCGACCGTAAGGATGGCATTGGATGATATCTCAAAGGTGTGGCAATTAGATATCATTTCCTAGTTTTTCCAGATAAACATTCGGGCAAAGGGCACTGCCCTCCTGTTTGATGTAACGGCTATAGCATCATAAACACGTCGACTTCAGTTTATGAACGCAATGATGCAACATATCGCAGCGCGGGTGCGCCTGGACACCTATCATGACGGCGATATTGACACAAACAGTATGGACCGTTAGTACGGTATAAACAGCCGGTCATATCACTAACGGACGTCATGTGACCCGGTGCACCCGCTGCAGCGGTGCACCATGCTGACGACAGATCTCCAGGACCGCCACACTTTTGGGTTTCGTCGAAAAAGGAGTGCAAGGGGCGAGAGAGAGAGAGAGAGAGAGAGAGAGAGAGAGAGAGAGAGAGAGAGAGAGAGAGAGAGAGAGAGAGAGAGAGAGAGAGAGAGGAGAGAGGAGAGAGGGCTGAGGGCGAGAGCGAGAGGGAGGGGAGATTGAGAGCGAGTCGTCTCCGGCAGTCTTCTGAGACACTTCTGACAGCGGCTGTCTCCGCTCGGCGCCGAGGGTCCGGCTGAGAGCCCTCGACTCGGTCCGATGGGCTCCCCGGGGCCTGAGAGTAACTGCGGCAGATTGAAAATTTACGGCACACTCGAGACGCGCAGATGATCACTCCCAGATTCTGCCCCAGCTCTCGGAGCGCACATGATGGCATGGTTAAATTCCTTACCAGCCGGACTCTGATCTCCGTTTTTGGCTAAATTCAATCACTGATGGAATAATATCGGTAGAGAAACGAATAAATTCGAATATATAGGAACATAAGTCGTAAATGGATCATGCCATTGAGCCCGAACTACTAATTGAATTCTTAGTTTAGCCGACCTAATCTTTGTCTCAATAAAAGGTCACGATTCACTCCCAGCCCAGCTCAGCTAATCACATAGAGGCTCCAGACCAGCCCAGAGGTCTTATCGATTAAATTCCATCCATCGACATCCATCAGCCGTCTTTCGAGGAAAAAAAAACACATTCTCTGGTCGAAGCTTCTCTGATCATCTGAGCCCACACCAACGCACACATTGGCATTACTGTCGCTAATCCCTTCCTACCCCTTCGCTTTCAACATATCCGCCATATATTATTCCATATCACACATACTCGAAACATCATAGACCTGTCAATCGAGTAAGTACCTACTCTCTTATAGCTACCACTACCCGCCCGCCATGGACAGGCCCCCGAGTAGCGACAGACGGACGGCCAGTGGCCATTCAGAGCTCTCCATTATCCAGAATGTCGGTCGATGTGGCTCAGTATTCTGGGAGCCAGAATGGACGGCCGGATCAGGTTAGGTGGGCTGGGCTGGTCAGGTGGGCTGTATAGGCCGGACTGACCGGCAGGAGTGGGTTGGGTCAATTAAGGTTGGCTTGGTTGGAGTCGGCTGGGTCGGGTGCGACGGGTGGGTTGGATAAGACAGCTACCGGGTTAGTACCTAGCGCTGTACGCAGGCGGAATACGGATCAGATAGACACAAAAATCCGGATAATAAACAGCACTTATGACAGCCCAGATGAACGGATGATACCATGAAGCATGTCGATGTCATCAAGAGCGATTTGGGTGTGAAGCGATCATGGTCGACATGGTCTGCAGATCGCACCTGTAGCTCAATTGTCAGTCACAAGTAGGCATTTATTTGACGCTGTGATTTTCACCGGGCCTATGACGTCTTCAAAGGTCTTGTCATTCCCCACTATCTATGGCTCTAAACAGGTGAGCTGTCCGAATGGCGTTTCCCCTTGATTTTCACCTCTGCACCTGCTTGAACGACAAACTGGATTGTCACCACAGGACGCCCCTACACCACGTGGTCACTGCGCCCGCCAGTCCGGCGCCGGGGTCGTGCCGAGCCGCCGTTACAGACCCCCCCCCCCCCTCCGTCCCCGTCGCACCCGACACGTCAGGTGACTGGCGACGAAACCAGGTGGGGCCGGGCCGACTGAGGTCACGTGACCGCACCGTATTGACGGACGGCCGCCGCGGGCGGCGTCACGTGACTGCGGGTCGATGGAGGAGGACGGTGGCTGAGTACCTATGTGGCGACGTCACTGTCGAGGAGGGGTCGCCGTCGGGTCGGGTCAATCCGTCGTTGGTCTACAAGAGGCTACTGAGTAGCTGGTCGCTCGTTTAATGATCCAAACTCCCTAAAGTTTCTTGATGCCCGATGTAAGAAAGCTTGCGCTACAGAACTCACAGAAGTCCCCCGGCAGGCCTCACAACTCACATCAGCTCAAAGAATTTGGGTAAAAGGGGTCCCTGCGTTGTGTAACGTAGTCCCTCCTAGCACTGCATCTAACCTACCAGTCTTCCCCGACGTAATCTTCAACTCTGAACTCACCACGACGGGCTGGAGGCAGGAGACGAAGCGGCAGTACCGGCTGCGTTCCTCCACCATCGCGGCCGAGAGGGAAGAGCGCTCAGAGTCCTCCAGACGCTGTAAAAAAGAGGAGGGAGTTAGTTACAGGGAGGACACACTGTCAGTTACAGGAGGACACACTGTCAGTTACAGAGAGGGAGGACAGACTCCTCAGAGTCCTCCAGGCGCTGTAGGAGAGAGGGCAGTATAAGCGTCAGGGCGGACATGGCGTCAGAATATGAAATGGAACATCAAGGGGTCTCCAATATCTGTAGGAGGGAGGACGAGTCATAGCAATGAGTATAACCATTGAGTAGTCCCTATGGTAGCGGAAAGACATTACGCCCATATCCCGCAATATGTGGGGATTGCATGGGATAGTTTTTCTCTAGTGAGAACAAAAGGTGAATGGTTACGTGCCTACGCCCTCAGACACAAAAACAAGAGCAATAGGCATTGGGAAAGAAGGCATACTCAGAGAAATGAGCCCTGTACCCACAAAAAAGACGGCCAATTCCCGCAGTGACAGACAAATCATGCCACGTAATGTCTCAGTCATTGGCCATCCATCTAGGGTAACCAGCTGCACAAAAAGCGGCAAGAAGACATCACGTCTACATAGCTCTCCTCTCTCGGATTACAGCACATCCACTAGAAGCTCTCCTCACGCAGCCCCCCCCCCCCCCCGTCACCGAATTGAGTAACCCGCTGATTAGTATTCCAGCGGCAGCGGCCGCCCGGTGACACCATTCACCTTATGACGGGCCGGAGAACAGACGCGCTCAGTGTCTGACACGGTCTCCACGTCTGCTGCCGAGCCGAGCCGCGCCGGGGTGCTCACTGCTCACCGCTCGCACACGCAGCTTTCGCTCTCACTTCTCCCATTCAGCTCACCGAAATACGTGCAAATCCGCCGTGTGTGACACCCCAACTCAGCCAAAGTCGTCTGATCCGACGAATCCGTCCGATCCCGCCGCCTATCTCTCTCGGAGACGGCTTTCCAAACCGGCGCACACTGGGCCGATCGCCAGGTCTAGCACGACATGGGTAAAAAAATCGAACTTTGTGGATGTGCAATGAAACCTATACCAATTTGTTCAAAAATGATCATACTACATTGCTGTGGTCTTTGTTTTCCAACACAATTGCTATTTCATGGCGAAAACTCAGCTTAAACACGAGCTTCGGAATCGTTTGGACCGAACTCGTCCCCCCGCACTCTTCAACAACGTATCTTTGATCCACGAAAACAATCACAATTTGAGGAGGAATTCCACATTTATATACATCAAACGATAGCTCCGGGTTTGCAGAACACACATAACCACATGAAAATGGCGAACTCTTACTTGGTTATGATGTATTGGCACCGCAAAGATTTAAAGACGAAAATAGAATTTCACATGATTGATGTCACACACAAATAGACTTTTAAAAAAAGTGCCGCAGAGTACCGCTTCGAAAATCTCGCTACATGTCAATGATTCATTGCACTACAAGATCCAACAGTCATTTTTTGCGACTTTTTGCGACTTTGGATGTAGCAGCCAAACATCAACCTGCGCCGGACCGGTGCTCGGCGTCAAACGCGCCGGGCCGGGAGGTGTTGATTGAACACTCCCCTTCTAACTCGGCTCTTGGGCCACATAGCGACACGTAGTAAGTGGCATTCGAAAGAACGCCCAAAATTCCAAATGAAGTAATTAGTCATTTCTAAGTCAGGTCAAAGGTCACGTCACCAGAGGTCATCAAAGGTAAAATGTTGCGTATATCAACATTTCTCGAAAACCGGCCCTAACTTCGGGGACCAATAGAGCTACATCGTCGCGGAAAAGTGCATTCAATTGCTCTTTTAGCGGTCTTTCTGAAATAAGCCCTCAGATTTGGCTTAACCCTCGCCCCTAGTGGTGTTTTTCCAGCCGCGAACGTATAGAAGGGGTCCGTTGGACCCCCCCGCCGTTTCGCCCCTGATCGAGCTAGAGCTTCGCGGAAAAGACGAGCGTGTTGCCCGTGACAAGAGGAAGCTGTTGATACCCAATTGTAAGGTCCTAGGTCATTGGTTGACCTTCCAGGTCAGGTCAATGACCCAAAAGTCGGGAAAATCGGGACCTGTTAGAACGTCGTAAAGGGTGGCTGCTGTTTTTTTTTTTTTTTTGGGTGCTGATCACGAATATAATGTTATTTACGATCATAGATGATGTCTTCATACATTTAGGCCAGGTCGGGCCAGGTCAGGTCAGGTCAACCAGTAAGGGTTTTGCCGGGTATTTGCAGTAGGTGGCAACCGCCTCTGACAGCTTTGTAACATGTTACGAAGGCACCAAAGCTACATAGTAAATGCTCAAATGGTTGCTAGATTCGAATTCAGCTCCAAAAACTAGCCTAGAAACATGTAAAACTCGAAAAAAGTGAACCAAGGTCATCAAAGGTCAATGACCTTACCTGACCTTCTGGTGACCTTGACACCCACCCTAATGCATGGGAGCAACATAATATCCCATGTTTGAACGCCTTAAACCAAGAAAAGACTGCAAACCCGCGGCTAATGCGAGCCGACATACGCTGAATCGCGATTCCGGCCAAACATGGTCTCGAAAGAAGGTCACAGGTCAAAGATCATTAAGGTCAGGGCCATGAAATTTTCAGGCTAGCTGTAAAAGTAGTTATCGCGATGGTACTGAAAGTTTCGTTGCGATCGGTCGCTTTTTACGCGAATTACTCGCGAAAAACCAAGGGTTCCGTTCGAAGATTCAGGCCCTGTCGCGCTAGAATGGCATATCGGCCCACTGTGCGGCGTCAGCCCGGTCGGACGGTCATCCAAACTCGGCTACTGTTATCGATGGTGACAGTCACATCGGAGGAGAATAGTCGTAAAACCCTCTCCCGTGTCACCATCGCCGACCTGGCGCAACCCCGACGTCATCCAGCGTCATCTCGGCGACATCCAGTGTCATCCAGTGTCACCCGACGTCAGCTCAGCGGTAAACCTCGGACCCCAATCCCACCAAACTGCTGCGGCCCGCCCGCACGCACAGGTTTATTTAACCGTCCGCTGCAGTTTACAGCCGGCCGCACCCCGCGGAGACTGGTGATGTCGCTGCACCCGCGGGTGCCGCTGGTCGCACTCCGCGGGTCAACACACAGCGGCGGGTTCGATTAGCGTCCGGACGCCGCCCGGACGGCTATTTTCGGTCCGTATATCATTGGGCGGCAAAACATCGCCAAGGTCGCTGATCTGTGCGTGAACGCAGCCGGAGCGATCGGAACGGGAGGGACTAGGCTTCCTGCAGCACTGCACTGGGCAGCGGTAAATAAAGGGCGGCGGCGTCAGCGACAGCAGCAGCAGCAGCATCGACAGCAGCGGCAGCGGCACCGACAGCGGCAGAGTTTGGAGCGGGCGGGCCGGGATGATTCATTTGTCGGCAGAGCGTCATTTATCAATGTTGGCCATCGCCGCCGCGCTGGGCACAGCTGGGCTAGCTGAATGTTGAGCGCGAATACCAAACACAGCAGATTGAGCCCTGCGGGACTAATCAGCCAACAGGTTTGAGGGGGAGGATTTCATTAAGTCTGTCACAGAATTAAACTGACGTGGCGAAACGGGTCAATTCAGAGTGTATGGCGCACGAGCGGATTGTAGGATATATGAAATCGTCGACCGAAATAGCCGAGATTGGTAGATAATTTCGCTGAACAGCATCCCAGGGGATTTGGTTAATTACGTTTAGAGCCAACAGTTCAAGGGAGTGATGGCTCTATTACGAAAATCCAGCTCTCCTGTGTTTATTTTGGTCGTGTGTATAAAACACAAACATCTTGTTCCTTGTTACATAAGCCATAAACAATTTTCATTATTTTAAACAGACCACCACTTTAGGAACTTACACAAGGGTGAGACTAAATGCTTACTTCGAAATCTAAGCTGCGTTGCGGCATTGGCGGTTATGTGCGGCGTGTATGCCGCATGATTAGTAAGCGGCGACCACTAAACTAAAAACTCAATAGCTTTGACCTGTTTTCAATGGATAACACTGCATACCAAAAATGTCCATCGCTCTCGTCATAGGATATTTAGATTTAAATAACTAACTTATCTACGAGTACATCATTGTTTTGAACCAAATTAATACTCAGCCGCGAACGTATAAGGTATAAGCCCTTGCCGTTTCGCTCCTGATCAAGCTAGAGCTTCGCGGAAAAAACGAGCGCGTTGCCCGTGACGAGAGAAAGCCGATGATACCCAATTTTAAGGTCCTAGGTCATCGGTTGACCTTCCAGGTCAGGTCAATGACCCAAAAGGCGGGAAAATTGGGACCTGTTAGAACGTCGTAGTGTGGCTGCTATGGGGTTTTTCGGGGTGCTGATCACGAATATCATGCTAATTTTGATCACAGATGATGTCTTTATTCATTTAGGCCAGGTCGGGTTAGGTCAGGTCAGGTCAACCAGTAGAGGTCCTGCCAGGTATTTGTAGTAGGTGTCAACCGCCTCTGACAGCCTCGTAACATGTTACGAAGGCACCAAAACTACTTTGTAAACGTTCATGTGGTTGCTTAATTCGAATTCAGCTCGAAAAAAAAACTGGCCTAGAAACATGTCAAACTCGAAAAAGTGAACCGAGGTCACCAAAGGTCAATGACCTGACCTGACCTTCAGGTGACCTTGACACCCACCCTAATGCATGGGGGCAACATCATATCACATGTTTGAACGCTTGAAACCACGAAAAGACTGCAAACGCGCTGCTAATGCGAGCCGACATACGCTGAATCGCGGTTCCGGCCAAACATGGTCTCGAAAAGTAGGTCACAGGTCAAAGGTCATTTGGGTCAGGGTCATGAAATTTTCAGGGTGGGTGTTAAATTGATCAATGCGAGGGTACTGAAAGTTTCGTCGCGATCAGCCGCTTTTTAAGCGAGTTATTCGCGAAAAACCTTAGGGGGGTTGCATCACCCCCCCCCCCTGTGCGGGCGAGGTCATGTTTTGATAGCAAGACTGAAACAGACTTTTTTGGGTAGCCAGGAAATCGCATGCCAGAGCCTATTCAAATTCTTTTATCGGCCTTTATATGCACCAGTCGCATACAGGTACGGGATTTAGCATACGATTTCCAGACAATCGAAAGACTGTTTTGAGCCAACAAAGGAAGGAATGAGTGAGTTAAGTTGAAAGTATTAAAGGAAGGGTGCCACCTTTTGGACACAACGCAGTTTTTACAAGATTAGCCTCACATGAACCTAAAAACCGGCTTCACTTACCTATGCTCGAGACGGTCAGCATTGAATCCGCACGTGAAGTTATCATTTGCGAGTTTTGCTGCCAGCATTCGGGCAGGCAAAAATCTTCAGCACTATTTCCTCGTCGTGTTAAGGGTATTTTATAAAACATGAAATCAGCAAAGGTATGTATAAAAGTTATACTTTTGAAGCATGTTTTATCATTTTGAAAGGGTATATTTTTTCTTTATGGTATACACTTAAGTTTTAAAATTTTAATTGGGAAGTTTTTCTAGTAAGTTGCATGAAGGGTGAAGGGTTCCATAGATCTCTTAAGCATTGTAAAGGAAAAACCTTTACTCGACTTATTTGATGTTCTTTTCTGATGTTCTTTCTGATGTTCTTTTGATGAAACCTTTAGTTCAAATCATGTTATCTTCTTCCTTTTTATTTGTTCATCTTTTTGTCTCAGTTGCGCCATCAATGCAAATGGCAGAATGATATGTTGCCATGACAACAGGATATGCCAGCCGTCCTAGCTGCCACATCAAACGACCTTGAGTTGTAGTGGTGATATAAACAACGATCTTTTTTTTTTTGGCCAATGTATTAAATGCAATGTTTCGGTTTTTTGTATATTGTGGACGCGCTAACCACGTCTAAAAATTCAAATAAGTAAAATAGATTCATAGAACAAAAATTTCGGAAGGTGGCACCCTTCCTTTAATTTGGTTCAAAATGATGATGTAGATAACCTAGTTATTTTAAGCTAAATATCTTATGACGAGAGCGGTTGACATTTTTGGTATGCAGTGTTATTCATTGAGAACCGGTCGGAGCGTTTGAGTCTTTAATTTAGTGGTCGCCGCTTACTAATCATGCGGCATACACGCCGCACATAACCGCCAATGCCGCAACGCAGCTTAGATTTCGAAGTAAGCATTTAGTCCCACCCCTTACACAACAGAACACTTAGTAAACAACCGTTACCGTAATGTGAGAAGAAAACACGCGCTGTTGTGCTTATTACATGCAATGTTCTTGAATTTAATATGTAAAACATATTTGAGGACCCTGCGGAATTCCTAGCCGTAGATAAAACCACACTCCCGCCCTTAGACATAAGGCGAGCTGTGGCTCTGAGCGCTATACCGCCCTGCTCACTGCACCGGTCCCCGCGTCTGTCCCGGTCTGCACTCTGCAGGCAGTGGAGAGCGGCATCGTTCCTGCATCTAATGATCACCGGAGCACAGCAGCCGGCTCAGAACAGGCGCGCGCTGAGAGATATGGGCTTGTTTGGAGAGCGGCGCGGCACCCGGCGACGGGCGCCGCGGGTAAAGGTCACATCAGCTCTGCAATAAGCTCTGGAGAGGGGAGCATACAGGGACCTTCGCAGACGAGGCAATGTCCCTAGACGATGACGAGCCTCAAAACTCAGAGAACCTTGCTAAATAATACCAAGAAGAGACCATGATTCGAGAAAACTGCGATAAATATGTGCTGCCTACTTCGCTGAGAAATATCGACCACAGACAAGCAAAAGTTGTCCCTTTTGATTCACACTGTCAGCTATAAAGCGCGCTTTAAACAACAAATACACTCAGTCACTTTAGACAAAAGCCGCCTACGTACATCGAAGCGCGATTCTCTCTCTCCGATACTCTGCTGTGCTCGTTCGCAGCCCATTTGGCGCCTCTAACACTGGCCACCTGGGGAGCGCGTATCCCCTGAATCTGCACCGACGGCGATACTCTCCGGCTCTGGTAAAAGGAGCGGCGTCTCGGCCGGATCGATCCGGCTCCCGTGGGACGTCTCATTAGTGGCAACACGGCACAGCGCTGACGGGAGAGGCAGCAAAGCAGTCCCTCCCAGTGCTGACGGGAGGTGCGGCGGCGCAGACCGAGTCCCAGGGCTGTGGGCAGGTCTCTGCCAGAGCCGTGGGGAGGTCTCCCCCCTCCCACGGCTGTGGGGACGTCTCTATGTCCCGGAGCTATGGAGGGACTAGGAGGTGTCTCCCAGGGCTATGGGGAGGCGCCTCTCCATTCCCAAAGCTGTGGACCTATGCCCTGTTTGCTCTCCATCACTCCTTCTTCGATAACTGAGAGATTCCTTCTCCCTTCGAGACGTGAAGGACCGTCTATCTCCCACGCAGATGTAGAATCGCTCTTCCCCACTCCATAACTACGAGACCATCTTGCTCCGGAAGCTCTGAGGCCAGCTCTCTCTCTCTCCCTATAGAGCCGTGGATTCACGCACATCGACCATCCTCCATGCTCGGACAATGGCCCCAGACCTGTTATGTGGGCGTCGCGCGGCCAGTCTGCGTCCCGCGATACAGTCAGAAACGACCTCGCCTCGCGTTCCGAGGTCGATTTACGCAGGGCGTTGCCTTGTCATGACCGTTAGCAGAGCTGACAGCCGGGATCAGCGCGTTTCAGCCACTCAGCTTCTATGAAAAATGACTGCTGTCGTTAATGAACCAAACTAAACCACGATCGTGAGTGCTTCAAGTGGTAATGACCAAATGCGACGTGGGTGGAGGGACCAAAGCTCTATTTCGGTCGAGCAGGGCACGTCAATTAATATCACTTCAGGACCACTGCACGTCATCGCGGATTGTTGAGCCACCTAGACGCGTGACGGCCAGACAGTGAATTTCAATGAAACGCAGCCCCAACTAGCTGGATGAGTGATGCGACGTCCATTGCAGGATTCATTGCACCGACGAAGGTCAAATGGATGAATATAAATTAGGGCTGGTGTGGAGTACGAGAAAACAGAGCAGGAGTACGGCACAAATCATTGCATCAGTTCCGTGGCTCGAGGTAATGAAATTGCACTCGCAGCAGTGCCCAAATGTATCGACTTAACGAGACCCAGAATTAAGACTAGCCGCTCCTTTTATGGCCTACAACATCAAAAACATCACTCCAGAAAGGACGATCTCTGCGTACAGATGAAGTCGTTCAGATGAAAGACGAGAGAGAAAGCGACAGCGACATTAATAAGGACCTCAGTTCGCTTTCGTGGGCTAAGCTATTACGCCCCCCAGCGCACATTCTTAGTATGGTCACGTAAGCACTTGGCACTTCATAACGCATGGTGCGCTGCCTGCCTAATTCACGTCGCCTGGTCCATAAGTGTCAGTCTCCATTCAACTTAACTAGGCTTTTAGCAGAGGCAGAAGAATACTGTCTGGAGGTGAATAGGTATTTAAAAAAAGGACCGACATTGAATCTAACTTTAACACTGAAGGACTAATTTAGTGCCCACCCAGGAAGATTCGCCGGCTTCGAACCTTTGCTTGAAGTGTTGGCCTGGCACCTGAAGCTCTTATTTCATACATCTGATTGTCTAGCCCGATCCTACGACGCCGAGAGCCCCCGAGAGCGCCACAACCAGACAAGCTATCCCCGTTGGCACGCGCCCCACATGGGGGCAGGTCTGGCCGTCAGGCAGACGACAACCAAGCAATCATGAGCTCGTCCTCAATGATGACCGCGGTCAACGAGCCAGGTGATCTTATCAAGCTAGCCAGCAGTCGCACTACACGTGTCAGGGATCACGTCTCCCATGCTAAGGGTCATATCACACTGACCATTGTTCCAGGTCGTGTCAGACGAGTCAGGATGTCATGTCGCCAGGATCCGAGCGCCGCCAAGTCAAAGTGTCAGACCTCTGTCATTAGATACCGGAACAAATGACAAACATCGGGTGTGACAAGCGACCTGACAGCGCCACGCACGTGTATCTACATTCATTGACGCCCAGGTATCTCTAGTTCCAAGATAAGAGCGTTGTAAGAACTGTGCTGGCGTCGTATATGCGTTAACATTGCTTATCATGAAGCGATAAAAGCAGAGCCACTAAGGATGCTAAGAAGTTTGCAATGCTTTATCACGCGCGAGCTGCTTCACTGTCCATTTACTTAAAATTTGTTCTTGTTGCATTTTTTCTGGATGTACTTCGTTCCAATCCTATCAACATCACCAAACAAGCACAACCAAAAAGCAAAAATATACATGATATCCCCTCCCTGACCCCTCTCCTCTCTCGCGCCCCGTTCCCTATCTGCCGCTGACCTGGTATCTCTCCTGGATGTCGGTCAGGCAGGCGTCCAGCATCTTCTGGCCGTCCTGCGAGCGGCTCTTCCTCGTCTTCTTGTACAGCCGCAGTGCCTCAGTCGAACGCTTCTTCAGGTCGGATCGCTGTCGTTTGTACTCTGAAACACAGACGGTGAGAGGTCAGGTCAGGCAAAGTTGGGTTATGTCTGGTGTCGTTTGTATCCGAGTTTCAGTGAGAGCCGCAGGACAAAATGCGGTGCAAGCGGACTACTGTTGATAAAATTGTTCCTTTGCAGCCGACAGGGAAAGTTCATATAGATTTTGTTTCCTCAGCATCTAAAATCAACAAAGGAAAGAAACCCAGATGGCCAATACAAGCCGCAGCACCTCAAAAATCTCACCGCGTTTTTGTTGTGACACAAAGAAGCAGAGGTCAGATAGGGTCAGATGGCCGGACGTTTGTATTCTGATAAGGGATAGATATACGATATACCTAGTCCCAGAATCTGATGGCCCGTCTGTCTGTGCCGAAACGGGGCACGGTCAGTCACGGCCGCTCGTTAGAGCGCTCACTCGGAAACTTTCTGTTATAACATAGCTTTCTCTGATGTCACAGATAACATGTAAGTTTCTACTAACCCCATCGCTTTAGTTGTAGTTTCATGGAGCTGAGATAATGTCACACAAGACTAATCCTCAGAAAATGGTGTCATTCAGAGGAGAGATGACTGAGCCTCATTAGCATCCACGACACTTATACGCCTCCGAGTGGTTACGGACAGCGCGTCGATCCATGAAACTGGGGACAATTAAATCTGCACTGGCGCCGCCGGCGACCACAGCGCCAAACAGCGGCGCACGGTGGGCGAAACTGGCGCGGCGGCCATCAAAGCGGCCCGTTCTGGGTCAACGTAACGGTAGGAGCCGGCGGTCAGCCCAGCTCGGAGCGGCGCGGTGGGAGAGGCCCACGGTGGGCGCCCCGGGCGGAGCTGCCGGCGGCTGGAGTAGTGGCACTACGACCGTACAGAGGTAATGAGCTGAGCTGCACGGCGGCGCTGCCGGCCTTGTGACTGAGCTCACGGCCGTTAGCGCCGGGTGAGCGAGCTCCCAGAACGTGTTGTTCCACATGTTGCACAAGTTAATACCTACACCGTGTTAATTAGTGCACCGAATGGGCGGTGTGCAGTTCTCGGTCCAACTAAAGCAAACACCGCGGGCAAAACAGGCCAGTAAAGCCAAAAACGGCACTCGGTTTACCCAGACTGTTTGCTTCTCTCTACATTGACGGGCAACATGATACTACACTCAGCAACGCTGCCAAAATTCCACATTCCATCAACACAACTCTCTACATAAATTCAACAGGAAACATCACCACCAGTCCTCCCAGAGCAGCACACCATACCGAATTCGCCCGACCATTTCGCAACCCGCAGTCCGTTCCAGCCCGACTCGGTTTTCCGGCCGTTCGCTGCGCCGTCCGCGCAGTCTGACCACATCGAGCGGCAGACGCGTTAGTTCCGGTCTCCGTCCGGTTCGCCTCTCACAGCCGGGCGGTGGAAACAGGCACGCACCCATACACTCGCCGCGGAGGGAGCAGCGCGCCCATACACTCGCCACGGACAGGGTGGCCAACCGTGACCGTACCGGACCACAGCCGTGACCGGAGCGCGGACGGCCGCGGAGAGCCGAGGCAGCGCCGCCGCCGTGGCAGTGGCCGCGCCCAGCAGCCGTGGGAATCTGTCTCCCACCGCTCCCAGACCGGTCAGTTGTCCCGACAGACGGTGGTCACCAGAGGACAGTGGCCAGCCGCGCCCTGGCGACGGTTTGAGCACGACGAGCACCCCCGCTGACACAGCGGAAGTGAGCTTAGAATGTCATCCTTTGAGATCACCTTGACTTTGAGATTACAGTAGACCTATGAATCTATCAACTGAATGGACGATGTCTGTCTCGATCAAACGCATGCATACATCCGACAAAAGCGTCTCAAATAATATTTCCTTATCATTCATCCCTAACCACTCAAACTGAATAGAGCGGACATCCCGTTTGGGGACTCTCAGCGACACGTTTCCAGACATCTCCCATACCTCCACGACGGAGACCATTTCGCGAGCGATGACGGAAGTGACGCCGCTTGTTTTGGCACTGGAGGCGTCTCGGCGCGGCTGGGAGAGGCGGCGGCCCGTGGCGTGCGACACGGCTTCTGCGGCACCGCCGGGAGTCGGGTGGAGATGGGAGGTCGTTCGCCTCCTGCCGCTCACACGCGCTGAGCTTACGGTGTGGAATAATATCGCACGCATTACGCAAGCAGCCATCACAATCAGTTGTGCTGTATGCTTTCACAATTAATTTATGATAAAACCGCTAAAAGCTCACGTGGTAAATCCAAATCAAATTTAAAACCGATGTGGAGCTATCCACGCCAAGAATACCCCGGGCAGAGCTACAACCTTGTGTATTTGGCGCGGCATCGTCAATTCCTGGCTTATCATTGGATGATTCGCAGCACGCCACAGTTTTCAGGCGTGTTTTCAGCCAGACGCGAAATCTCTACTGTCCGCTTCAGTCGAAGTAGCCCCGAGGGACTCATCAGCTTCGCTCGAAGCCTACACCGCAGAGTACTGGGGCAGGTCGTTATCTAGTCGCCGCCGCCACCCCTCCGACCATTCACCACCACCTGCCGTTCGGTATCCATCACCCTTCCCGTCTATCGCTCAACCCGTAAATTGGTCGCCGTCCAGCATGGGCCGTCCCCTGCACCCTACCACCCCCACCTTCTGCCGCAATCGCTTCCACGCCGCCGTCGCCGTCACTGCCAGTTGGTGCGTCGGCCGTCGCCCTACAGTCGACCGTTGCCCGCCCCACGGCGCCACCCATCGCCGCCGCACGGTCGCCGCCGGCGCGGCGGCTGCACTTCCTGTCCAATTTTGGCCAATCGCTCGGAAACTGGGCCACCGAGCTGTGGCCGCAGCGACCACGACGGAGACTGAGACTGGAGACTATGATGAGGGCATCTAGCGCTGGGTAGGAGAGTGGACTGCGGAGGCTTTCATCAGTCCTCGGCAGGGTACGATCTAGTGGTCCAGTCAGGGAAGAAACGACGCGGGTCGCCTCAGGTCATCGCGTCGAAAGAACGTGAGCGATCATCAGTGACAGAAGAAAGACTTCAGGACACCTGATCAGTGATAACCGTGTAGCCCTAGAAATAATGCGAGGCTCTGTAGCATTGCAGACTTCAAATAAGATTATCTGGAAGTTTGCTAACGGCGACGTTGCCTGTTATTAGCTCGTAAATGGCAGCGCTAAAACAGCGGCAATGGCGGCCGGGACAGTATAATTGCCGAACCGCGATCGCAGGCACTAATCAATGCCCCACATTCGGGGACACGCAAATAATGCTTTGGAGTTGAGCCGTCACTGCAAAATGACGGGCCTCTGATTAATCCAAACTTTGATTCCAATCAGAGCTCGACAAAGCCGCTTATCTAGGAACCAGACGCTGCGGGGAAGCCTGCGCTGCAAGCTCACCAGACGACGTCATTAGGTCAGTGTAGATCCCTCACGAAAACCGCTGTACGGCCCATCCGATCCCACACGAACTTCGTGACAGGTCATGACGTGTCGTGATGGTCCGTGACGCACGTCCCGTGATGTACGCGCCGTGATTACACTGTCACGAGTCACGAGAGCTGCTGTAAGTGCCGTGCAGCTCGGTCTACGTGACGGCTTCTCTGCTGCAGCCGTGAGTCACGGCCGTGTGCGGCGTGATCGGCGGTAAATGGACGACAAGGGACGACTTCCGACAACATCTGAACTGCTCGTGACCGATCAGAATTGTAGCAACGAAGAGCAAGAGAGGAGAGAAAGAGAGAGGCAAGAGAGATAGAGGCCTCATTTTTATCCGTCATTCCGCTCGCAATTAGTATGAATTAATATCACAGCGCCAAATCTTCCGTCGCTAAGGAGACACCCTCTCCCTTACCCAACACACTACATCATCTGCAGGAGACCATTAGCAGCTCAGTGAGTCAGGGAAGCAGCTCCTGCTGCTGGCGACTTAGGCGACACTACGGACCCCTCTCGGAGAGAACTAGGTCACTCTTCTCCGCGACCCCTCGACATCCGTACCAGCCTTCCTCGACTTCGAGGGAAACTCTTCTTCGAAGACAACCGGACATCTTTTCACAGACACTCATCGATACTCCTTCCTCCGAAGACACCCGGGCATCCTCTCTCTGCGACACCCCCCCCCCCCCTCCAAGTCGCCCCCTAGGCAAGGTCAGTGCCCCGACGCACTGGGTCGTTGTCAGTCTTCTGGCCAGCGCCCACGGCATATCGATCTAGCTGCCAAGGGGTCGGGAGAAGGGAGACGGATCAGCCCGCGTAACCAGGGCGGTTAGCCAAACGCAGTCTGGCATCGATAGGCACCGCTTAGGCATCGGTTAGGCATCGGTATGGCGCTGTCCAGATGCTGGATGGTCGCTGGGTAGGGCAAAGGTTAGACGCTGGCTACGCGCTCGCTGGGCACAGGGACAGAATGTGTCGCAAGTGGAGAGCTGCCAAGAATCTGATTGGGCAGCGATTACGTAGCCGCTGCGGCTGACTGGGCACCTGTACATCAGTTTTCCACCAGTTAAGCATGTGATCGGACATTGATTACACTCTGACGCCGGATCGACACCCGGAACAATCATCAGTCTCTAAGGGCGCCACTCCAACATCAGTCGGACATCAGTCAGCCGGGCGAGATTAATAACCAGCGGCCAGCAGGAACCCTTGGACTGCGTAACCCCGGGATCACAGAACCTCTCAACACTCATTCCAGAGCAGAGTCCATCCGTTCAATCAGCATGTCCAGAAACCTCTCTCAGAGCTGTCCAAGGGTCTGTCCGCGGAGTTTATCTGGAGCGTGACTCGAGGGTCTGTCCGACACAGCGCCGCGGCTATTGGACTGACCCAGACGATCAATCCACCCGTGATGGACGGACGAACGGAGACCAATCTGGTCCGAATCGCAGCCTTCCCCGTCGAGCTGCGGGGAACTCTGGCGTGGCGGCTGGTGGTCGAATCAGTCGGACGGAGCTAGAGCAGAGTAGCAGTTCGGATAGCTGATCCGAAAGGCTCCGCTAGAGACACACAGCTGACCAGTCCA